GACAACCCCCATCAGCTGAGACATCCAGCCAGGAAAGACCTGATCTTGAAGGAGGAGGAGAGGACAAGAGGCTTCACACTCACCTGATTCCCAAGGAGCAGGAGGCGAGAGAAGCGGATGAGAGAGCAGAGCGCAGGGCTGTCTTTTATAGTAGTCCTGCACTGCCTCAGGCCCAGAGGCACCCTTTGCACAAGTAATAATTTTCTGACAAGCTCATGCCAAATGCAAACCATCCCAGCTAATGGTATGGGCTGTGTCCTGGCTTCCTGCACGGCTGCCTTTTCATTTCCTGGCTTATGCCACGTGCTTGCCCATCCAAAGGCTTCTGTAAGCTTCTGCCGGGATGAGAGCCCCAAGGATTTCCGGGACAGGAACACGTCAGCGCAGGCGGAAGACTCAGCTCAAGTGCTGGTGGCATCCCGTGCGGCCAGGTGATGTGCACCCGGGCCACTCCTGGGGGATGGCTTGTGGCAAAGTTGTCAGGAAATGGGCACCGCTCTCAAGGTTCTTGTCCGAGTGTGCCCAAGGACTCCCGTGTGAGAGGTCGTGCCACACGCTTTTCTCTTGCTCCCCACATCTCTCTCTGAAGGTTGCTCATTGATGCACACAGGGGGCTTCTGCTGGCAGGGTTTGACCCTGCTGCAACACTAACGCTGCTCTGAGGACAATTTTGCTGGGCTCATTTGCCTGTTCCCCTTCGCTGGGTAGTCTCTGCAGGCCCTCAGGTGAGACCAGGAGCAGGTCTGGGGTCCGGTCCTTCCCGGGGGCACCTGAGGACAGTTCTGCCAGTGTGGTCCCCAGCATCTCCCTAGCAGAGCCCCCCGTTACTGATGGTTTCCTGGTTTTATGCGAACATACAAACTTTTGCCTGGTTCCCATTCAGCACCTGGTGGCTTGACCAGCCCAGGCACAGGTATGCAGAGGTTTATTACTGTGTCTTGTGGGATACCAGGAGATGAGCCGGGGCTACAGCCAGAGAAACTGCTGTGGGTAGGACCAGACATGTGTGTCAGGGGTGAAGGTGAAGCACTAACAGTGGCACCAACACCGGCACCAACATCAGCAGGAGCTTCAGCACCAGCACCAGAATCAGGTCCTCTGAGGCCTTTTAGTTCCTCCAAGTGCAGTTACTCCTTGTCACGTCTTGCTACTGGCAGCTGTCAGAGCCCAGAGGACCAAGGTGATGTCGGACAGAGGAAACCTTTGCCATGAGAAGCTCCTCACCATCCTCACCTCGTCAAGATCAAGATTTCCCCATTGCTCTTCCCTGGAATTCAGTTCTGGGGATCACAGGTCCCAGTAAGCAGCTGGGAACAGGAAGGCGCTATGAATGCAGCTGCTGTTTTGGTGAGCCACAGCGATATTGGGGTTTTGCTGCCGGGTCAGCAGTGGGTCTGGACTCTCCTTTCCTTGCTCCTGACATCAGCAAAGAGCTGAGTTTATTGTACTCTTCTTTGGGGTGAGACTGCTGATAATAGATGAGAGGAAGTGAGAGGAAGATCACTCTCCTGTCTCTGTGTAGCGTTACTTAGAGCAGGGGAACATTAGGAAGAGGCACGTCTCCAGGTCAGCCTCCAGCCTGACCATCTGTAGGGCAGCTGCCTCAGCTGGAAGGACATAGGCTGCCACATGATGGTCTCTCGGGGGGCACGTATATTTACCCTCTAGACGCATGAATACTGCAGCCAGAGCAGGCATTGGCTGAGGCTGATGTTGGTGAGACACTGTTGGGCCTGAGTGAGGCACAACATGTGATGTGCTGGGTGGGGAATCGCAGGACTGACAGCATGAGGTGTATCTG